AACAAAAGCAAAACCAAGTTTGAAATTTTTTCAAAAATTATAGTAGTTCGTAAATACATAGATTCCTCCGACCGCGTCAAACGAATTCCATACCCTTCGCCTCGTCTTCTCCGTTTCATCTCTCCAAAATCAAGGCTCGGCACCCGGCGGGAGATGGCTCATGGTGGCGGCGGCGATGGAAATCGGGTCGGGCCGGACTTCAACCTACCCGACGAGGTTCTTGCCGTCATACCCACGGACCCGTACGACCAGCTGGATCTGGCCCGCAAGATTACTTCCATGGCAATCGCGTCGCGGGTTTCGAAACTCGAGACGGAGGCGGCGAGGCTCCGCCAGAAGCTCGGCGAGAAAGACCGACTAATTCAAGAGCTCGAGGAGAAGGTCTCACAGCTCGAGGGCGCCTACCAAGACGCGGAGCTGCGATTGAAACTTACTCGCGAGGATAATGTAATCTATCAATTCCATGGGCTTCTTTATTTTTTTTTTTATTATTTGGTTTTTGAGGAGTATTTGTAAAGTGGATGAATTTAGGTTTCTTGAAAAAATTGAATTGCAGGTGAAGCTATTGACGGAGAGGGATTCTTTAGCTTCCACTGCAAAGAAGCTCAGTCGTGATTTGGCAAAGGTTGATTATATATCTCTTGTGTTTTTTTTTTTGCTTTAATTATGTTTTTGGGAAATTCTAATGTCCCGTTACGGAACCATTCGGTCGGGGTTTATAACCGTTAGATCAACTATCCACGACGGTTACATGATGATCTAACGGTTACAAATCCCGACGGAATGGTTCCGTTACGGGACTGTAGCATTTCCCTATGTTTTTAGATTTTAGGAGAATTTGGTTTCTAAATTGGGGTGAAGCATAAATGCTGAAAAGTCTTCCTTTTTAGTCTCATTTGTTTATGGAAAACTATAATTTATGTTGCTATTAGTGCATTTGTATATGTTCAATTTTATATAGTTACAAGTTGTTAGCTGTTTATGCTTTCTGCATCTATTTCACATCTCATAATGAATGCTCTGCATTGGTCTTAAGAAACATGTTTGGATGAAAAAAGTGTCGGTATAAACATCCGAGTAATTTAAGTTGTTGGAAAACGGCTTTATGCTTTTATGCAGCACTTAAGGTACATTTTTCCCACCCTGCAAATGCGAAGTTGCCCTAAAAATTTTTTAGTAACTTCAGAATCTGTGTGGATTCATGTCTGCATTGCTAGTTGATAATGGTGAACTTCTGTTAATGTCTTTTGTTTATTCAAATGCCCAGTTCTAAAGAGGGTTGATGGATATAGATTTGATTGAGTTTTGATTGGTTTTTTTTGGTTAACAATAGTTAATTTTAAAAATGTGGTTAGGTTAGGTTTGAATTGAATTTCGAGTTTGTACGTTGTATTAAAATAATATTTGAAATAAAATGATTAAAGTTGATTTAATATAAAAGTATGAGAAAAGTTATTGGGAGTGATAGGTAGTATAAATTATGTGAGTGGTGAATGGTGAATTAAGGTTGATGAGACGTGTAAGGATGATTGATTGATATTATTTAATTATATTGATAATATTGAGGATAGTGAGAGTTGAGTTAAGGTTGAGTGTCTTGTAGTTGTGGTTTTGTGATAATATGGAGGATGTTCTCATGTTTGCATATGTTTCACTTGTTCCATTTCCGATATTTTCTACACGGACAATAGATAACTTGGTCGATGGTCTGCAATGCTCTTCTCTCGTTATTTTGTAATGATTTGAGTTAACTCAAACATTGTGTTTCCATTTGTTGTACTTGCGACAATATCTAATGTGTGCTCTTTCGACAGCTCGAGACATTTAAGAGGCAATTGATGCAGTCATTGAATGAAGAAAATTCACCGGTACAGCTCATGTGCTTACTTTCTTGTTCTTATAATTATATTTGTTTCTCACTGCCAACGTCATTCTCTGATCACAAGACTCAATATTTTGAATTTTAACCCCAGCAGACAGAAACGGTGGATATTGGCACTTATGACCAAACAGTGCCTAAGGCATATTCTACTAGTGGTAATCCGGAAACTCTGACTCTATCCTTGCAATTTCGTTTGCTAAACCTATGCTCGGAAAAACCTTACTTTTAATTATGATTCAGATGACTCGAATGGCTACAGAAAATATCACTCCTACAGCGGGTCCATCAATACCACAAGCTTAAGTGACGAAGGTATTTTTACTCACTTCCTCAAGCAGGAGAGATAAAGCGTACCAATCATCAGTCAAAAAGGATCACATGCAAGTGATCTATAC